TATTAACTATAAATCCATTTATATATTATATAAAAATATAATTTGGAGAGTGTTAATTATTGTTGAATATGAAATCAGATAGGTAAATATGAAATCAGTGACTTCTTAGGAGAAAGGGAGGCAATTCTAAGAATGGAAGGTCTTGGGGTGGTCTACGTACGTCAAGAATAGGGTATTGAAATCTGAATACAAAAGCTATTCACTGTGGTGAAAAGAAATAAGATAAGTGCATAATCAGCAGTGAGTTTTCTCTTGTCAGAGGAAAGACCGAAAAAAAATGGCAAAGTATGATAAAATAAAATTTCTTACTTTATTTGAAAACCAATAATAAATGGAAAAAATAAGGTTGAAATTTGAAAAATAAATCGTTCCACAGGAGTTTATTGCTTCAGAGAACATCGCAATATTGAGAAGAGGCTAACATAATTCATATGCAAGTTCGCCGGGACCACGAAACATTATTGTAATAGAGGGAGTTATTGCTGTATTGGATATCATAGTAGCGAGAGTTCACTGTATATATACAGATATTATTATTATTGATACATCATTGTAAAAGCAAATCATGCACCTTGAAATAAACATGTAATTTTTTGTCAAAGTTTAGAAGAAGTTTAATTAAATAATACAAAGTAAATGGAAACACACATAAGTCTTATATTTTAAAAAATCAGTGAATAAAGAAATTAGGTTACAATCAAATTAATGTAGAAAAAAAAGTTCTGATAAAATCTTTAGATAAAACTGATCCGTAAAAAAAAATTGTTAAACATTTGTTTGTTTGAAAGGATTTAATAGCTGAATCCATTTTCTGAAACTATAAAAGCAAGATTATTAAAAATATAAATAAAAGAAAACTAATCACACTGTTTCTAAGAATCACAATGAAAGATTTTTATAGTTATAAATGATCAATTCTGGCAACAATTGAGATAAAGATTTATAAAATACTCAGGAAATTATGGAGTTTTCATCAGCTCTGTTACAATGAAAAATTTCATTGGCCTCGAGAGTATGTGCCAAAAACAGTTAAGAAAAGGAATTAAACATAAAAAGACATGAAGAAAGCTTTAAAAATAAAAAAAAACTATTAAGAAAACTATCTAATTATCTCCATTTAAAATAAAAAAATAGGATAAAAACATAATATTTTAATGTAAGAAAATAGGATAAAGGTAATACAAAAAAAATATATGGATAAAAATATTCTCACTAACTCAAAATGATAAAAGAATGTGTCAAAAACTAATAACTTAAACAAAAACTGTGTTAAAAATTAAATAAATATAAGAAATAAGTACGGCTCTAAAAATATTTTACTATGACAATTATGATAAAGAAAATTAAATAACTTAAAATATTAATAACAACTTCTTACAAAAAAAACAAAAAAATGAAAACAAAGAAATATTACCTTCCAAACATAATCTTAGAACTAGATTTATTAAAAGCTCTGAAGTACCAGATTTAGTTTAAACTCTCAAGTTAAGGTTAAAACACTATTATATATTTTTAAATATTTCTCTAATGTCAAGATTTTAATTTTGAGGTATATATCTTTACAAAAAAGTATGTGATTGTTTAATTTTACTATAAAAATCTTACCAGGTTTCATTAGTAACAAATCATATTGTTTAACGATAATCATAATATTTGTAACTTCTCCATTTAATCAGCACAGTTAATTTAGAATTGAAAAGCATAACAATTGGCATAATTAACTAGTATATTGATTGTAGCTAATCATATCGTTTACATTATAATGTTAACTTCACCATTTGAAATAATAATTTCATTTTTGAAAACAAGTTTCATTTGGAAACATTCCAATATTATTTAACTGCATGAATAAAATATTTTAGTTTTATCTGATTATATTTTGAGTTTATACTCATAATATTATTTTTAATCTAATTAAATAACTATAATACAAAATGGCAAGAATACTCCACTTCATAGAGAAAATGACAATAGAATAAATCATTAAGCTAAAATGAGATGATTTAAGATGGAATTCTATTTTCACCAAATAATTAATAATTGAAATTTTAATCAAAGATCATTGAGGACATTGAAAATAAGCAGGACTTAACAGTTTTAACATCACATTATTTAAAATATTAATATTGTTATTTCAAAAAACTATATTTCTTAATTACCAGCAAAAAAAATTCAAAAAAATAAAAAACATTTAGAAATAAATTGAACAAAGTTGATTTAAAATTCATAAAGACAAAAAAAATTTTAATCTCAATGAAAAACAAACTAAAGAAAAACACAGTATGAAAAGACATTTGGAATAGACAGAATAAAATCTAAAATTTTCAGAAATCTTGTTTAAAAAAATTTATTTTGTTAAAAAAAATTAAATATTTAGAAATTTATAATTTATCAAAAAACTAATTAAAATTTAAAAAAAAATAAATAAATAAATATACTTGAGAGATGGTACTAGATTATTGCCAAGAAATTAATTTCAAAAAATAATCTATTTCAAATTGTTTCATGATGCTTAACTCCATAATTTGCCTGCAAACTTTTAATAACACGAACACTAGGGTGGGCCGAAAAATACTTTTATTTATTTTTTCGTATATTGCTTTAGTAAAGAAAAGTTATACGTGGTAAAAAAAGGTAATATGATACTGAAACTTTTAAAATCAAAATTTTTGATGGTTTCATATTGTGCAATCAAAATATATTTTAAAAAAAAGAGCAAATTTTTTGTTGTTAAAAACATAAGTAATTTTGATCTTTTTTTAAACTTGTAATAAACATAAGTAATTTTGATTTTTTTTAATTTTAAATATTGTGTAAAATATATTTCTCTTAAGCAGTATATATTACATATTTCAGTTTTAAGTGAGTTTTGTTAAAGAGTAAATTCAATAAAAAATTATCAGCACTCTATTTTTTTTCTTTCAATTTATAAATAAAACTTTCAATTATAACAAATTTCTTTCAATTATAAATAATAAAAAAAATAGATAAATAAAAACTTTTCATGTTTTACTTACTTTACACTGATTACACTAAATTTAAATTAAAAAGAAAAATAAGAGTAATAACTAGAGTAAATTTTAAACTTAACTTTCAACAAAATTCTCAGCCATATTTTTAGTTAACACAACAGTATTTCAACATAAAATAAAGTTTATTATTTAATCTCTACTAACAGCTGTGAAAAAATAAAAAATAAATAAAAATGAAATAAAAGAATACTTACATTTTAAAATAAATTGATTTTAACATTAATTCATAAATAATTGTAACAGATGTTAGAATTATTTACGACGAACTGCGCTTGTTACTTAATGTCACTTATACAGTAGATGATCAATAGAACTTAATTCTATAAACCACAATTCTCCTCAGAGCATTCTAGCTTCGTTGGTGTAAACAATATAATTTGCAATTAAGATTTTTTTTTATTAAGAAATAATTATTAACTTTTTATATTATTTGTTTAATTATCTGCTAAGAGATTGAAATTTCAAAAGTTTAAGCAAACTAAAATTAATTTGCTTCATGCTAGTTCTAAAGCTGCAGTAAATTCCTTTTTTTTTCTATAAATTATTTTAAAGTATTTAAGAATTGATCTGTTCTAGACTAAATTTGCCATATTTAGTAGATTAGTTTAAAGATAAGTGAAATGATCTGTATAACATAAAATGCATTGCATTACAAAGTTCGAGTTATAAAGATATTCTACAGTAATTTTAAGAATGATTATTTTCCAGGTTCATTGCAATACATTCATCTAAGACTTTTTTTCAAAATCAACAGGTTCTTGAAAACCGTGGAATACACTTTATGAATCATTGTGTTTCATTAGTAAAACCATTTTGATACTAAAGAATTAATGATAAATATCTTAAATTTCTAACTTTTTCAAAACTTTAAAGACAATTCACAAACAAAAAAATTTTTGATTTCAAAAATTACAGAACTTTTTTCCTTACTCAACCCCATGTTACATTTCAGAACTGTAGCGATATAGAAAAAAATAAAAGTATTATTCAGCCCACCCTAACGAGCACACCACATTTGTATGACTTGAATGACATGGGAGACATGTAGAGTAATACTAGACATGTAGAGTACATGTCATGTAGAGTACACAATCCTAGATTATCATTTAACTAATCAGTAAAACTCAAGATTTTATTTTTTAAAAAAATGTAGTGTGCACGCAAACAGATATTCCGTGAAAAAGATATTGAAAAAATTTATTTAAATAAGTGCAAAGGGTAAAAGATTGGTATAATTCATTGGAAAAAAATAAGTTCTTAAATATTTCAAACTCTGTTACAAAGAAGTGAAACCCTAATTGACTGTCAGCAAAAAAAAACTACCTTAAAAAGTAGAGAATTAAAAATGCACAGATTGAACTAAAAAATATCTTAATAAAATTTAACTAACGACTACTATTCTTCAAAAACATAGTGAAATTAATCTGAATCTCTTCAAAAGAAGTGTATAAATAAGGCAAGGAAAATAATTACAAATAATTAATAATAAGGGAAGTAATTACATTAAGACAAAAAAATTTTGATTTTACTTTCAACCTTCAAAAACAAAGTAAAAGATTAATTATGCAAAGGGACATTCATCATAAAATACCAATCTATAGATAAAACTAAAAAATTTCATTAAAATTGAAAATATATCGATGTGAACCATTTAAACATTCACAAAATCAATCTAAATATAGACACACACATAAATATTTAAATAAAAATTAGCCAAGCAAATAGATAGTTAAAACCTAAACAAAAAACAAACAACAGACACATAATATTAAAAACTTGTACTCAAACAAATTAAGACAAAAACCATGTTTATCATGTAATTTTATCCTCTGTTGGCTTTCTATGGAAGAATCGAATTCTTAAAGGCATATATTGTATAAAAAAAAGGTATACAAGAAAGAATTTCAATGTTATACTGGCAATTCACTGAAAAATAATGGAATGTAAAATAAGAGGAATAATACTTACTGGAAATTGTGGGTAACAGCTGAGTGTATATTCAACCAGGGCTTGTTGTGTTCGTTCATATGCATCAATCACCAACTTGACATTCGCCAGTGTTCTTACTTCTGCTGTAATAAATGAAACATATTTTTTGCAAGTATAGTAGAAATTAAATTAAAGGTAAATCTGGGGGGGGAATACATACATACATATATATATATATATATANTTTTTTTTTTGAAATATAAAATTATTTACATTTTTCATTATCCAAACACATAATCGATTAACTAAATGGTCTTTTACCACAATTTAGCTTTTACATATGATTGAATATATGAGAATATATGATTTTATATATGAGAATATATGATTTTACATATGAAATTTGTTGTGTAAATACAATTAATATCAGTTTCAATTAGGTGATGAGAATAAAATATATGAAAATGAAATAATTTTGATCTTTGATGTTATTCTCATCAAAGATCAAAATTAGCTACAAAGTTCATCAACATATGAAATTGTCAATGTGGTTAATAAAAAAATTTTTTTTTTTGAAATATAAAATTATTTACATTTTTCATTATCCAAACACATAATCGATTAACTAAATGGTCTTTTACCACAATTTAGCTTTTACATATGATTGAATATATGAGAATATATGATTTTATATATGAGAATATATGATTTTACATATGAAATTTGTTGTGTAAATACAATTAATATCAGTTTCAATTAGGTGATGAGAATAAAATATATGAAAATGAAATAATTTTGATCTTTGATGTTATTCTCATCAAAGATCAAAATTAGCTACAAAGTTCATCAACATATGAAATTGTCAATGTGGTTAATAAAAAAATTTTTTTTTTTGAAATATAAAATTATTTACATTTTTCATTATCCAAACACATAATCGATTAACTAAATGGTCTTTTACCACAATTTAGCTTTTACATATGATTGAATATATGAGAATATATGATTTTATATATGAGAATATATGATTTTACATATGAAATTTGTTGTGTAAATACAATTAATATCAGTTTCAATTAGGTGATGAGAATAAAATATATGAAAATGAAATAATTTTGATCTTTGATGTTATTCTCATCAAAGATCAAAATTAGCTACAAAGTTCATCAACATATGAAATTGTCAATGTGGTTAATAAAAAAATTTTTTTTTTTGAAATATAAAATTATTTACATTTTTCATTATCCAAACACATAATCGATTAACTAAATGGTCTTTTACCACAATTTAGCTTTTACATATGATTGAATATATGAGAATATATGATTTTATATATGAGAATATATGATTTTACATATGAAATTTGTTGTGTAAATACAATTAATATCAGTTTCAATTAGGTGATGAGAATAAAATATATGAAAATGAAATAATTTTGATCTTTGATGTTATTCTCATCAAAGATCAAAATTAGCTACAAAGTTCATCAACATATGAAATTGTCAATGTGGTTAATAAAAAAATTTTTTTTTTTGAAATATAAAATTATTTACATTTTTCATTATCCAAACACATAATCGATTAACTAAATGGTCTTTTACCACAATTTAGCTTTTACATATGATTGAATATATGAGAATATATGATTTTATATATGAGAATATATGATTTTACATATGAAATTTGTTGTGTAAATACAATTAATATCAGTTTCAATTAGGTGATGAGAATAAAATATATGAAAATGAAATAATTTTGATCTTTGATGTTATTCTCATCAAAGATCAAAATTAGCTACAAAGTTCATCAACATATGAAATTGTCAATGTGGTTAATAAAAAAATTTTTTTTTTTGAAATATAAAATTATTTACATTTTTCATTATCCAAACACATAATCGATTAACTAAATGGTCTTTTACCACAATTTAGCTTTTACATATGATTGAATATATGAGAATATATGATTTTATATATGAGAATATATGATTTTACATATGAAATTTGTTGTGTAAATACAATTAATATCAGTTTCAATTAGGTGATGAGAATAAAATATATGAAAATGAAATAATTTTGATCTTTGATGTTATTCTCATCAAAGATCAAAATTAGCTACAAAGTTCATCAACATATGAAATTGTCAATGTGGTTAATAAAAAAATTTTTTTTTTTGAAATATAAAATTATTTACATTTTTCATTATCCAAACACATAATCGATTAACTAAATGGTCTTTTACCACAATTTAGCTTTTACATATGATTGAATATATGAGAATATATGATTTTATATATGAGAATATATGATTTTACGTAAGAGATTTGTTGTGTAAATACAATTAATATCAGTTTCAATTAGGAATCGAGCGTTTCTTTAACTAGAGAACTGGTAACCTTTTATTTTGAATTTTAAATATATAATGCATTTTCAAATGTAACTCGAATATACCCAATTTAACTAAACCGCTTGAAATGATTATGCATTATATAATAATAATCAAAGTATTAAATTGTTATTTTCAAAAGCATATTTTACTGTCATACTATCCAATATCAAATTTATCGATGTTTTATTATACATTATTTTAATAATACTAAATAAATAATAGAGTGTTTTAACAATATAAAAAAAAATTCAAAATGTCAATTTCTAAGATAAAAGCATAATAAATTTACATGTAAATTACAAAAAATTCAAAATATCAATTATGTAAATTTAATACAAAGTGTTAGGATTAACAAAATTTGAAGTCTTGTATTTGCATAATTACACTTACACTTCACAAATAAAAAACAAGTGTTATTGGTCAAAAAATAGCAAAAAAAATTCTTTTTTTTTTTTTCCAAACAGATAAAACCTGGAATGTATCTAAGAAAAAGAATAACATCAAAACAGAAGATCTCATTAAACTGAACAAAATAACTAAGATAAATGCATATTCAAACCCTTTATTATTTAAAAAAAAATGCTACAAAAGCAGGTTAATGCTAAATCATAGAAAAGAAATGACATCATAATAAAATACATGACATCAGCGAACAACCCAACAACAAGTAGGGGATGTGAAATTATTTCCTTTACTTTCGCATAGTTTTTTTTCTGTACAACCCAACTTAAAAGACAAAGGAACTCCAAAGTCAAACATCTGAGTTCATTCAAAGTTATTCATTTATATTTTGTGAAACGAGCTCATTGAGTTCGCTTACCATCGCCAAATAACAACTGGATTAGTAGTGGAAATCTTCAACTCAGGGGTGGCTGACTCTCAGCTCAAGGGCAGAATTCACAAAATGTATAATTTGATATCTTCTGTTAATGTTAGCACAGTAAAAATGAAGCAATCTTTTTGGAATCATCAAAATCAGCTCCAGAAAATGAATAATTCCTAATAAAACTGAATTATTAACAATGTATCCTACAAAAGTTAAAATTAAAAATCAATTTTACATCACTTATTAAAAGTGAAAAAAATTAACTAGGAAAACCCTATCACAAAAGTTGTGTTTTTAAATCAACTTAAGTCCATGATTTCTTTCCCCTTCCTTGAAAATGAAAACCAACAATGACATCTTTGATATCCAACGATGATATGCAAATATACAGATAGACTTAAAAAAATTAACACAAATCGTGTTTGTTTATGATTGTTGATCAATAAACCAAATGCATTATCAAGTGGCATTTTTGCTTTGAGTAGATTAGTCAAAACCAGCCATTCCAAATCTATTGCCAACATTCAGAAGCAAACCGTAGATTAGTCAAAAGCAGCCATTCCAAATTTATTGCCAACATTCAGAAGCAAACTGTAGATTAGTCATAACCAGCCATTCCAAATCCATTGCCAACATTCAGAAGCAAACTGTAGATTAGTCAAAACCAGCCATTCCAAATCTATTGCTAACATTCAGAAGCAAACAGTAGATTAGTCAAAACCAGCCATTCCAAATATATTGCCAGCATTCAGAAGCAAACTGTAGATTAGTCAAAACCAGCCATTTCAAATCTATTGCCAACATTCAGAAGCAAACTGTAGATTAGTCAAAACCAGCCATTCTAAATCTATTGCCAACATTCAGATGCAAACTATCTGTCCCAAGCCATTCTGGCCAACAAATTGGAGAAACAATCACACCTGTGGGGGGTGAGTTGTTATCGACAATGTCAACCTTCGTCCATGTGAAGGTACCCCGGCATAGAATTGAGTTTACATGTCTTATATAATAGTGACTTGGAATTGTATTTTTGTAGTGGCTGATATACTACAGTACCATTGGATTTTATTTTAGTATTTTAATAATTTATCTAAAATATATAAGGCAGAAGTTCAGTTTTGCAAACTCTGCAGAGCTTTTACCACCAGCAACTCAATATTAAATTTTCCAAAATTTAAAAATATATATATATAATTTAGTGGAGGAACTGAAGGGAAAAAATTGGACCTAACTCACCAGGATTGAGTAGTAGTAGAAACTTGAGACATATATAATCTAGGGGATCAAATTTGAGTTCTTGTAACCGGGCTGACACATGATTTAACTGGTCTGTCATACTAGCTACCCCTAGTAGAGCCAAATTAACCATACTGAACTTTTGACCATTGGGCATTGTTATCTCTTCAGGAAGGCCGTTGTGAAGCCTCTGATGAAGATGATCTAAAACCAACATATCACTCCAAGAGTGCTGCAGCAGTTTCATTTGATCATCCACCTAAAATAACAATCGCATATGTTTATGGTTGAAATAACAAACAAGTCTTTTAACAAAAACAGATTTATAAAAATATTCATTAAAGCATTTTAAATAGACACCAAAAACATTCACATTTTCCCAGACACTTAATATATATAAATTACAACTTGGTTGTATTCTATGTCTTGCATTGGAACAGAGGGGACAGGCCCTGACTTAGCCTGGTGGTCAGACGAAATATCGTTCTGTCCATTTTATTTATTTTCTGACAATTCTCTGCCAAATGCAGCTTTCGGATTGTTAACTTTGTCATCTAGCTGTGAAAAATTCATATCCTTGCTGACATAAGGGCGGAACTCAGCTAAATTTTTGCTATTATGATGGCTCAATTAAGCCAATCAGTAGCCTGTATTTTTGTAAAAATGCAGGCTTTTGATTGGGCAATTTTGTTCATCGTAATTGTGAAAATTTAACTGAATTCGGCACTAGAAAGCCATGGATTTACAAAATATAGATTGTGTTCATAAGATAGATTAATGATAAGAAGCTAACATAAAACTGACGGATTTTACACTGAACTGATATTTTGCTTTAAAAAAATTCATTAAAGTAGGAAACATAATATAAACTTTTTATTCGATTTGGGACCTCCTTCTGATGTAGGGGCCCGGGGCAACTGCCCCGTACGCCCTTGCCTTAGTCAGGCTCTGAGATGGGTGCTTGCAGGGTACCACATTTATGGAACAGCTTAATGAAAAAAATACTTCATATATTCCTTGCCAAAGTTAGCAACACTGTTGCATCATATCAACTCAAGAGATACCAACACCCGTAAAATATGTTAATGACAACACTAGATTATTACAATATATGTTTGACATCATTGCGATGTTGTATGGTGTTTGTGTTACTTAGGCAGTACTGCCAAACTGTAAGGTAGGAGAAATGCATAGTGATGTCCTATATGTTGTTGTTTCTAATGCCACTTGCCAACCAGCAAGCCTGCTTGGTGAAACCAAGCGAATTTAAGGCAGAGAGGGTGCGTTTCTTGCTTCTCCATCAATGGTCAAGAATACGACTTCAGCCACACATACTTCACAACCCTTTCATACATCCATTCATTCATTCACAGATCGTAATAGGCCAGAATAGCCTGGTCGGTAGGGCGCTGGTCCCATGCCCGAGAGTTCGTGGGTTCGAACCCCGCCCGCTGAAGACTCCCCGTGTAGTTGGTGACTTATGCACGTTAAAATTCTGTCGAGTCGCAAAGTCCTCCATGTTCCCATAACAAATCAATACCTCTGGGGGTACTGGATTGGAGATCGATCGTTCTCTGATTCAGGTCAAAATTACGATCTGTGGATGAATGAATGGCTCCGCCCTATAAACAGGTGTGACGTATGGTGTGGCAGAAGTCGAATTCTTGGTCATAGATGGCGCCACTGAAAAACAAGAATCGTACACTCTGCCTTAAATTTGCTCGGTTTCACCACGCAGGCTTTCCCGTGTGGCAAGTGGCATTAGAACCAACTAGCATTAGATCAATCACTAATTCAGTACCCCCAGAAGTATTGATTTGTTATGGGAACATGGATGACTTTGTGACCCGGCAGATTTAACATGCCCCATTCACCATTGCATTCGGTAGCATTCGGCCGGCAGGGATCGACTCACGACCTCTTAGACACGGGTCCAATGCCCTACCAATCAGGCTACCCCAGCCCTTCATGTCTTATATAAAATAACCAATGACATCTCGTATAGTGTAATATCTGTTGGATATCATTGCAATATTATATGGCGTTTGCGTTACTTGAGATTGTTGCAAAATCTAGGGTTGGAGAGGTTTATGGTGTTGAGGTATAAAATTTCAAGGTATGAATATTGTGTTACAATTAATAAATGTCTCAGAGAATCTGAAAATAGAAATATTTTTGTGTAAAATTAAGTTTAAATTACAACTATGAGTTTCCCCCTATAAGATATGGTGGCGGTTTCCGAAAACATCAAAATTATTGGTTCACCCTGAGGCAGAATTTTTTAGGGCTTTCTGCGACGAAACTCTCTAGCACTAATATCTTTCTTCAAGATACTTTTAATAATAACAAACATATATGTTACTAATTTAAAATAACAAGTGCTGTGTTACAAAGAAAAATGATATAATTTTTTTAAATAAAGCATGTAATAATCTTTTATTCTTATATTATAATCTTTTATTCTTATATTATTTTCTTCTTCGCATTTTGTACATAATCATCACAATTAAAAAAAAATTAAAAATAATCAAATCCGTAGTAGTAATTGCCGGGGACGGGGGGG